TCAGCCATAGGTACAGCCAGTGATGGTCACGGAATCAGCTTAAATAAGAAAAGAACAAAATATTACACAACATACATTCAAAACCAGAAAGGACAAAAAATAATTAGCTACAATTGGCCTAACTGAAAAAGTCATGTTCTAGTAAAAATATGAGGTCTAGTACGAAAGAAGACAGACAGACATTCAACAGTACTTAAACTCCTAAATAAATTTAGACACAGAAAGAACGACAGAAATAAAATACAAAATCGCTATATCATGAAATAGACACATCTATCAAGATTTTTACCATTTTGCCACTCATCAGTGACAAAATGAGACCAATATCATCAGCTATGATCAATATGATTACTCATATTTATAGTTTTGCCATCTGCTTTGCTTTAAAATTTCTTGTCGATGCCTTGAACAAAAAGCAAGTTTATGTTGTTTATCGTTTGTTAATCGTACCAAACACATTAATAATTAATTTTTATTGATACAGAATCTTTAAAAAAAAGTAACCTTTCATGTTTTTATACATAAAACTTTTGTTTTGTATAACCGCCTGGTAAAGTTTTCATTCAAAAGTGAATTCGCTACTCACGGTGGCCTTAAACAGCAAGATCACATGAAGGAAGGGCGATCTCGAAAGATCCGCAGTTACTCATCGGTCACAGCTCATCAACAGGGAGAAAAACCTTCTCAGGAGTGGTGTGAGAACCCGGGAGAAAGAAAACAATCTGAGTCTGATCCAAAATTGCTGAAATTACTTCTATCAACGTGAATTAGTTCAAATTACTGTTCTGCTTCATTAAAAATGTCCTAGTTATGTAGAAAATTAGCTAATTCTTTTGATTACTTACTTGTTACTTACGTGTTACTTCTTTATCGAAGGGAATAAATATTTTGGGTTAATACAATATGAAAAAAGTCTAGGTTCTATTAACCGTCATCCCCCAAGGGAGCTGAAATCTCCTGTAAAAGCCCTGAGAAGGATGTTAACCAAGATCGCTCCGAAGAGAGCTATGGACTCCCGGAGCCGTACCCTTTCATGTATTTGTGTAATTGATCGCTTGTTGACCATGTTTGATTCGAAACCCTCACCGTAAATCTACGCTATTCATACCGGCTGCCCACGCCGACTCAAAACATCCGAACACGCACGCAGCCAATTCTTGTCATGTTTTAAAAAATTACACCTTCTGAATTATGCGCCTTTCTCGCGACTTTTACCCCGGTCCCACGGTTGTTTTCCCCTGGGAATATGAAAATTTTTAACAGCTGGGCAATAAATAATTCCATCTAGGAGAAAGACTGCGGCTGTCCAGGTTAGAAGGTATTTTTTACGTTTAAAAATCAACATTTCTAATTATCTGACTTCATGTAATACTTGAATCTAAAGCAAAAATATTACTAATGTTGTTTATAATTATCGAGTTATAGGGGGAGGAGCTGTTTGAGTAGAAAATTCGTATATGCATGAACCAAAAAGTCAGTGTGTTACCTGAAAACGTGAGATTAACAGAAGTTTCATTCACCTGTAGAGTATTAATCATGCAGTTAAGCAAAGAACTTGTTAGTGAACTTTAAAGGGAGAGAAGGTTAAGGGTGTTTTGAAAGGGTGAGCTCTTGAGGATGGCCCGTCATGTGACGACCCAGGCTTATCACAAGAAGGGCTGGGAAAAATCAACGGCGGCTAGGGGGACCTGGCTTGATACCCTTTTTCCAACAATGCCCACCCTTTAAAGGGGAGGAATCTATGTCGATAAGCCTCCAGACCCTCCTTCGTGCTTCCTGTACACAAAAGGGTTTTCAATCCAGACTACACCCGCTAGACTGCATCGTGCATCCCCTCGATGGACGTCAGCATCAACTGCCTAATAGAATTTATCTGCTACGGTATTTATTGATAAAATTTCCCCCTTTTCCTTACTACGCTGCTTAACTATCTTACCTAGTATTTCGTAGACGCCTGAGGGAGAAAGTATTGGATATCTACCCTCCAAATCCGGCGCTACCAGGGATAGTTGCGCGTAAAGGATTTGATGGATAAAAAATAGTCTAATAATTCGTTTGATAATTAAATTTATTAATTCACAATTTATGACATAAATACGGAAACTAAAATCTGGCCAGAAATAGCTATATAGACATAAGTGGATATGCAGAATGACAATGTTGAGAAGAAAATTACTAAGGACGTTCGTACGCCTTGTTCTCAATGACAGGGAAGATCAAACGAGAAGTTGGTGCTTATCTGGGAGCTTGAGATTGGAGTCTGGGAGCCACTCGCCGACGGGTCGGAAACCAGAGAGCAACTGACTGAAGACAGCTGATGTACGTTCGTGCGTACAGGTCGAAAGCCAGGGAACGACTCACTGAAGTCAGCTGATGTACGTTCTTGCGTACAGGTTGAAACCCAGGCAGTGATTGGCTGAAGACAGGTGATGTACGTTCGTGCGTACAGGTTGAACCCAGGCAGTGATTGGCAGAAGACAGCTGTTGTACGTTCGTGCGTACAGGTTGAACCCAGGCAGTGATTGGCAGAAGACAGCTGTTGTACGTTCCTGCGTACAGGTTGAAACCCAGGCAGTGATTGGCTGAAGACAGCTGTTGTACGTTCCTGCGTACAGGTTGAGAACCAGGAAGTGACTCACTCTTTTTGGACGTCTTGCTGAAAATTGACCTGTTTCTCCCTCCAGCGTCTTGATCCTAACAAATTTTCCTTTTTCACGATTTTTCAAAATGATAAATTTAAGATAACAAATGACGATTACTTAATTAACTATTAATAAATAAAAATGTTTACATTGGCATAAACACCTACTGTTCCTATAATTGATATAACAGTCGCTTTTTTTTTTCTTCAGATGGTTAGTTACGATCACTTTAGAAAATGAACGGCGGTGAACGTACCTAAAAAAGACCCAATACTGATTTCCCTCATTTTGATTGGACTAACTTTTAACCTGTTCTGTTGATGATGGATATTGGTCTGCGAGTCGGTGAACCGGCATAGGCTCACTTATTACGCCAGTTTTCACTCCCAGGTTTATTGAATTACTGAAACGGTTTCAGCATTGCTCCATGTACAATGTGAAACCGTCTGTTCTTTGTACAAAGCGTTCATTATCATTAGGTCCGACGGTTGTCGCTAGGTGCGTTTGCGGTAGGATGCGTGGTCATGGTGTTCATTGATATGTTTTTTGTTTTTAGATATTAGCCATATAGTCAGAGTATGTGTCGTAAAGCTGCAAAAGCTCATTTTGTGTTTTTATGGGTGGTAGGATTGTGAGTTTATGATGTCACTTGCAATGACTTCCCTCATTCTGATTGGTCTATCTTTTAACCTCTTCTGTAGTGTTGATGATGTGTTGGTCTGTGAGTCGGTGAACACATGGTGAACCGGCATAGGCTCACTTATTACGCCAGTTTTCACTCCCATGTTTATTCAATTAAAGAAACGGTTTCAGCATTGCACCATCTATAATGTGGAACGTCTGTTCTGTGTACAAAGCGTTTATTATCATTGGGTCCGACGGTTGTCGCTAGGGGCGTTTGCGGTAGGATGCGTGGTCATGGTGTTCATTGGTAGGTTTTTGTTTTTTAATTTACCGGTTAGATATTAGCCATAGAGTCAGTCAGAGTGTCGTAGTGCTGACATTTTGTGTTTTTATGGGTGGTAGGATTGTGAGTTTATGATGTCACTTGCAATAACTTCCCTCATTCTGATTGGACTATCTTTTAACCTGTTCTGTTGTGTTGATGATGGATATTGGTCTGTGAGTCGGTGAACACATGGGGAACCGGCTAGGCTCGCTTATTACGCCAGTTTTCACTACCAGGTTTGTTGAATTAAAGAAACGGTTTCAGCATTGCGCCATGTACAATGTGGAACTGTCTGTTCTTTGTACAAAGCGTTTATTATCATTGGGTCCGACGGTTATCGCTAGGGGCGTTTGCGGTAGCTGCATGGTCATGGTGTTCATTGATATGTTTTTTTTTGTTTTTAGATATTAGCCATAGATTCAGAGTATGTGTCATAAAGCTGCATAATGCTGAAATTTTTTGCTTTTTGTAGGTGGTAGAATTGTGAATTTATGGCACTTGCAGAGGCTTTTCTGTATATTTGGAATTTGATTTTATTTTTAGTTCTGGTGAGTGTGCAACAACTTGATGCTGTTGATTTCACTTTCTATGTTTTGTGATGTTTTTTTGTGTATTGCGTTTCAAAATGTGCATCAATTTCTGCTGCCCCGAGCATGTCCATCCGGTGTGCTATTATCAAGAGACCGAAAAAAAGGCATAAAACTAAAAAATATTAATTGATGCTATTTATTTCGTTTGAGAAAACATGCAGACACTCACTGATAATATGAAACAACTAAGCATTCAATGAGCAAGATAAATTCGCAAACGAACATTAACATATAATGAGATTGAATAGGAAAATTTCAACTTAATATTCGGTAAAGTCGCTGGCAAATCGGTCGCAAACGTTAACCGTAATTCCTAACTCCCGGTTTATAATGAATAGGTCCGGTATCGCCGATCGGATAATGAGTACCATGCGGAAACGGTTCTTGTAAAAAAGAACAAGTAAATTGCCTTACTGTCTAAGTAAGACTGTATTTATTCTGATTTTATCGAAAGCACATAGGGTCAATAGAATAGCTACGCTGGGCGGATGGGTGTTCGCCTGCGGATCGTCTTCGAAAATAGGGATGGCAACGAGGAGTAACATGTATTTTGCCAAAGCTGTACTTTCTCAGAAAATTGATAAAAGTCGGATAGGAGAACTAGAAGACCGTGGTTTGAACTAATGATGCGAATGAGAAAAGAGGACATACGTTTTCAGAGGATTTTAAGTCCTCATGGAGAGAGGGATAACGTTAAAAAAGTTACCAAGCAACATTTACAACAGTATAAGCATTTTGGTTTAACAAAACATTTAGATAATTATTTCCGTCAAAAACATCAGTCAAAATCATTTTTTACTAAAAATATATTTTTTACAGGTTACGAATGGATCGGATGGCGGAACGATAGCTTTGGCATACCAGGAAGGCCTGTAGAGATAGTCTTCGAGTTTGACACATTGAGGAACTTTTCCGCCATGTACATCCACATGAACAACGCCTACACGAAAGAAGTACAGGTAATAAAAAATTATTAGTCAATGCCGTTTGGTTGCAACTCAGAGGATCAAGAATGATCTCGGACCCCATGGGATTTGGATTTTTTTCTTAGTGTTGTAAATGATTTTTATCCACAATCCTGAAAAGAGATTATGTCAGAGTTAATAACGTGAAAGTCAAATTATAGATTTAAAAAGCCTTATGCACCCCACGCTGGCGAAGGCCCGCATTGGTGGGCGGTATTGTCGTCCCGGTTTTTCCTTGACATGCACAATAGCTTAAATCTAATATTAAAATATTCCTTGATGTCTAATTAACATTTTCTTTTAAAAACGCAATGAGTTTTAGAACAAATCAACTTTTAGAAAAAAGGCATTCGGATTGGTCGTAGCCTACCTGCCCTATTTTGTGTACTTACTCTTGTTCCAACAAAATTGTTATTATTAAAATTTTTCTTCTAAGGTACAGCTTTTTTTAGTAAAATTCCATCCTTTTAACGGACGGTTACGTGGTGTCGCAGGAACAGAATAAGGCTCAGGAATGGCAGGTATTCTCAAGTTAGACCTTCGACCACTCAGTAAGACATCCACTTCGCCGAAGAAAAAAGCTATTATGGTCCTATCGTGATACGGACACAATTGATGAAGTGGCCAAAGAAAGAAAAAAAAATCATTTCATCGTCTACAATTTTGTACGAAGTTCTTAATTGAAAAAGGAGGAAAATTAATAAGATACTTAAGGGGCGTCGGTGGCGGCAACGGTTTAGGCGTTGACACGGCGCTCATCGCAGTAAGGTAAAGGTCCCGGGTTCGAATCCAGCGGCTATGCATTCGAACCCGACATACTTACAAATGGGCTTTTTTTCAAAAACACCGGCACCCCGAGGGTTGATATGACCTCTGCTGTTGCGAACCCTCGTAAAAAAAAACCCTAATCTATAAAACCCTAATCCCTAATCCCTAACCATCCCTAAGAGATACTTAAGAAAATGAAAAGTAATATAACATTTACATTACTTCGAGTTTACTATTTATTTACGTTTTTATTTCCTTATATTGTACTTGTAAGTTTTCGAGTTTTATTTTAATTTCCCGCAATTTTTGTAGTTACCCATTAAAATCTTACATAAAAATGTGCTTGTGAAATTGTGACAAAGTTAGTTTATCCTAATTACTGCGATTCGCGACGTGAAAATGAAAAAACTCCAATGAAGATGACAAAAAAAGATTGACGGCCAAACTGCCGTCCGCGAGAGAGGATGAGGTTAAGGCCGAAGTCAAAGTCTCTGACATCTGGATCAATCAGAGCGCGCAAAAAAACGTTCATTCGTGATATATCTGAACAAATTGAGGCAGGGGTGAAATGACTCAATTCCATTGACAATTAACTGCAAAATTGACACTTTTTTCTGAGCTTCTTGCTGACTTTGATCTTGGCATTATACTCCGGGATATATATATATATACATGAGGATGAACTTACAGTACCATTTAAGGTTATAAATGATGATTTGTTTTGACGAGCGCTAATTTGGATTAGAAAGGGATGAGAATAATCCAGAATTATCTGAAGCTTTTTAGTTTAATTTCCCGGATATTCTGAAAAAAACTAAACAAACTGTATTCGTATGGTCTTCTATCAAATGTCTTGATTAGATGTAGATGTTATTTTCAGGGTATAGTATGCTGCGTCCTTTAAGAGCTATTGTATCCCCCTACTCTGCCTAAAGCACATCGGTGAGTCCTATTTTGTCAAGAAACTTGATTAATAGGCCCGGTTTCAGTGGTTGAACTTCTTCTATGGTAACATTATACATCCCAAAACACTTCCTCCTGCGGGCAAGTGTATCTCCGCAGTTAGTTAGTAGATGTGATGGTGTTTCCTCTGCCTCTTTGCAGAATCTGCACGTGCCATCTTGGATTATTCCAATTTTCTTTAAGTGACCATTTAACTTGCAGTGTCATGTTAGGAATCATATTAGGATTAGCAGTTTGTTCCGGCTTCCCCTGATACATTCTATAATTTCTTTTCTACCAAAATTGGTTCGGAGATTCTTGGCTTGTCTGTGCCCAATTCCACAGTTCCTTCATTTATGTCCTTCTGTCTGAGATACTTGTTAATAGTGTGGATTCCTATGCCGCAGAAGAGTTCAAGCCCTGTCAGCGGTGTAGTAGCCCCTTGCCTTGCAAGGGTGTCCGCTTTCTCGTTGCCTCCTACTCCCCAGAGGCTAACTTTGTTCTGATTACCTAATATATTTAATTTGGTTTTGCAGTTCAGTACCATCCTTGAACTAATGATATTTGAGCTTAGTGCTTTGATGGCTGCTTGCTTATCTGACATAATAGCTATCTAGTTTTTGTACCCTTTACTCAGGTTGAGTTGGTTGAGCCTTTCGATTGCGTGAAATTATTCTGGTGCATTTTCCCATGGGTTCTGAGTATTTGGTTCCAGGTCTAAATACTCCTGCCCTCGTAGCTTCTTGTGCTCTAGATCCATCTGTGTTCCAAAGGATGGTGCCATACTTAAAAGAGGTGTTTCCCTCTTGTTCCCATTCTTTTTTGGTACCTAGATTTATTTGGAAGTTTTGATTCAAGTCAAACATCCTGTTTTTGTCATCTCTCGGCCCTTGAGTATCGGATGGTCTTTCTATAGTTTGTTGCTGTCTCTCCATTTTAGTTTTAATGTCATCAAATAAACAAAACCTCTCCCGTTCTGGTTCGCACTGGTTCGCTCATCCCCAATCGACCTTATCCTTCCGCAACTTACAACCCATACCTTCGAAAGATCCTTTCTGATCCGAGCCCCTAAACTCTGGAACTACCTTCCTATTTCTATTCGTCACGCTGCCTCCTTTTCCTCCTTTAAATCCCACCTGTATAATCACCTCCTCTCCCTCCAAGCAGAGACCTCACGTTAACATTTGTTATTTTTGTTTAATATTCTCGTGATTTTTTCTTCTGTCCTGCCTTATTGGTATACATTGTGCCAAGATTTCTATCTTTTTTTTTTTACTTTTAACTTCATATAAGGAACTTCTTTTATTTATTTCAAGTAAATTTTTCTTAGGGGACACCACTCCCAGAATAAAGTTATTTTTCTTCTTCTTCTTCTCCTTAATGGTGTCTCATAAGTCATAATGTAAACAATTATATGAATTGTGTGGTGATTAGTGACCGTTAGTCGATAATTATTCAGATATCGTGAGATGCGGTCTGGTGTGACGTAGGTTTCAGAAAAACTTTTTCTTTATCGTGCCAACGTTTCGATCTTTATTGAGATCATCTTCAGAGCTCTAAGTGTTTGTTTTCTGCGTAATAGTGGCATTCTTGTGTGTCGTGTTGAGAGTACCGACACGACACACAAGAATGACAACTACGCAGAAAACAAACACTTTGAGCCCTGAAGATGATCTCAATAAAGATCGAAACGTTGGCACGATAAAGAAATTTTTTTTCTGAAACCTACATCACACCAGACCGCATCTCACGATATCTGAATAATACATGAATTGTATGAGCAAAATGTTTCAATGCGCAAAGATTTTTTTAATAATGTACAATAATAAACTAGTTGTAATTAGCAGCCGAGCAATATTTACACGCCACTTTCGAAATGGGCCTATTCAATAAAAAGAAACATCAAGTGTTATGGATTGAAAATAATTAAATCTTTCACAGTTTCACGGTGCCGCAGTTATTAGTTAAAAAATGAGATAATCATGTTTAAATATCTCGAGATCAGCGCGAATTTCTAACGTTCGGCTTTCTTATCCTTTCACCTCAATAAAACCCGGATCGGCGAGGCCGGTAATCATACAATTAAGTCGGATTTTGACTAGCTATTACCTTCGCCCTTATATGTACTTCATCCGTCCCGGTTTCGAATCGTGAAATAAACTTTACGCGCTTATTTTAAGCGGGGATTTTAATTGGACTGTGCTGTTAATTATCGACAGACTGGCCGTCGGGACATTATTTTAAAGTCAGATTTAATCATTTTAATGAGATATTCGTTGGAAAATCTTCTCAGTCAAAGTTAAAATAAACGTTGTTTTAAAATCACTGCGGAATTGTATCAGATTATCTTTCAAAAACATATGAAAAGAAATGTCAGGACTCAGATAATCTTAATTTTCTAACCTGTCTCTTATATTGACGATTCTAACGATTTGAAATATTAAATTCACTAGTTTCGTGGTCCGCTTGACCAATTAATATCTTTCAATTAATTAAGGTTTTTAGTTGTGATAAAAAAGTCAGTGTCACGAGCGGGATTCGAACCCACGATCTTCGGCTAGATACGACGCTGCTCTACCACTTGAGCTATCGTGACCTCGATCTACTCGGACACTAACTTCCGATCTCAACCCCACCTTTTGAATTTTGAATTGAATTTGAAAAATGGCAAAAAGAGGGAAAATTCAAAAGTTGAGTTGAGATGGGAAGTTAGTGTCCGGGTGGATCAAGGTCACGATAACTCAAGTGGTAGAGCAGCGGCATATCAAGCCGAAGATCGTGGGTTCGAATCCCGCTCGTGACTAACTTTTTACTAACTAAAAACCTTAATTAATGGAAAGATTTGAAATATGTTAGTAAATTTATTTTTTAAGGTACAGAGATTTTCAAACCGTCATCTCGGTACTTTGTCTGGTTTACTGCTTTTACAAATATTCTATAGTAATTAGTTGTAGGCCTGATTGTAGACCAAAAAGTAATGTTTAGATAGTTCGTTAGATTTCATGACGTTTTCTATCATAAAAATAGAATTTTAATTTAATCTATCAACCAGGAAATTAACATTGAAATTATAGTTGATAGCTGAGCTAAATAGTTTTACGATTTAAAACTACATTGGTTTTTGCCTAAAAATTAAGTTTGCAAGGTGAAAATGGGATAAAAAAGTGAAATAACGTCTGACTTAAAAATTTAGTCATAAATTTGTTTTCCAGGCACATAAACACACATCCCAAGCACATTGAGAACTACACAGATGCAAAATCATTCAGACAGATCAATTTAAC